TGATATGATTCTGCTGCTGTCCAGGCCGACCTGTCGTTCGAGCACTGTGCCTACTTCGCACCGTTACCTGCATTCCGGTGGACCATTTCGCTGCACAGCAACGCGCAACCCGTGCCTGACATCGGCAACATTGGCGATGTCCCGCTGCACCTGGCGGAGGAAAGCATGGGGCCCGTTTTTTGAAGCTGCCTTCGACCAGTCCCAAGACTCCCCTGGAACTGCAGACCATCCTGGCCTCCTGAGCCTTGAGATAGNNTGGAAGAACTCTGCCGGGGAGATCTTCGAGCTGGTTACCTTTGAGAGTGAAAGCTTGCCTGTAGAGCCTGTTCTGCTTTCAGGAGCTTAACCGACAGCATTATGACGAGTATTTTTCTTGTTGTTGTTATAAACAGCTTGCCGGCGATAGCATGGAGATGCGTTACCAGAGAGTTCGGAGAACTATGTACATGCAAGGAATTAGAGTCTCACTCGCCGAAGGCGATGCCTTGCTCCGGCTGACTGTTTTGAGCTGTACACTTCAGCTGCTTCTGCAAATCTCAACGAGAATAACCACGAATGAAAGAAGCACAGAGCAAGAAGCGACTACTCGCAACGGAAAGCTATTCTGAACAGAAGGCTTGGAGCAGAGCCGAGCGTAAGTGTGCAACTTCGGCTGTCGGGTACGCTGCCATCAAGCCTGACAACGCGGCTGGAGCAGTGGCGAAAAACCGGCCCTAGTCTGTTATGGCCACGGAGATGATGTTGGAGGGGTGGGTGTGCTGGTGGCGCAGGAGGTGGAAGAGGAGGAGGATAATGCGACGGCGATAACGATTGCATTTGTTGGGATGGTTCTTGTAGCTCTCTAGTATCACCATCCTCCGCGTTACTACCCTTGGCATCCCTACTCAATATCATCTCGTTCATTCGTTCGCCAACCTTGGCGGCCTGTTGCTGTTGATGCTGCTAAAGTGTCAGCCTTGCTTTGCTTTGCAGAGTGGAAATATCCCACGGGGGCCCAAGCCGAGATCCTTTGTAAAGTGCAGTCCTGGAGTCGCTGGTCGCAACCCGGAGTAGTATGGACATAGCTCCTGGCAGC